ACAAAAATCACAAATAAGTCATCTAATTGAGGCTTTACAAAAATAAGAAATTAAATACAAACTATATCTAGATCTAATTTATCTGAAAATTTGCTAGCAATTTCCTATTCCTATGGATCTGATCCAATATCCTCTCTGTTTCACTTTAAAAAAAAAAAAAAAGCCCTAACCACATTATCCTACAAAATATAAAATAGTAGCACTACAAATATTACACTACAACTGTTGCTTAAAATATACTAAACATACATTGAGCTTGCAAGAAACTAGGAAAACCCCTACAGACCAGCAAATAGGAGGCTAAAAGCTAAAGTAGTAATCATCAGCTGATACTGGTTTGGGTTTGTTTTTTGGAGTTTTTTGGGGTTTTTTTGGGGGGGGGATTTGCATAAAAAGACACAAGCTTCATTGAAATACATTTGTTTATGAACTTTATATTTGTTGTATCCCAATGTTCCAAAAAAGACTTAAGGAGACTTCTAAGATTATATAAAATGCAACAAAGGAACATAGATTAAAAGTAGGATGAAAGAAGAAAAAAATGAAAGGATACTAAATGCCCAAGAATACAAAGGATACAAAGCCCAAATCGCATACTATAATGACCTAAATATTTGCTCTGGGTCATCTACAAGTTTGAATCTAAGCTTCCTAGCAGTAAAAGTGAAAAGCAAAACATAACCAAATACTCTACTGACAATATTTGTGAGATAAATATAAACTGTTGTTGAGAAATACAAATATTGAACCACCCTTGCAGCCCAGGAATAAGTCCCACTTGAGGGTGAATGATTCTTTAAAAGTACTGTTGGATTCGATTTGCTAGTATTTTATTGAAAAATTTTGCACCCATGCTCATCAGGAATATTGGCCTGTAGTTCTTTTTTTAGTGGACTCTTTTTTTTTTTTAAGATTTTATTTATTTATTTGACAGAGAGAGAGACAGCAAAAGAGGGAACACAAGTAGGGGGAGTGGAAGAGGGAGAAGCAGGGAGCCCGATGTGAGGCTCGATCCCAGGACTCTGAGATCATGACCTGAGCAGAAGGCAGACGCTTAACGACTGAGCCACCCAGGCGCCCCTTTAGTGGAGTCTTTATCTGGTTTTGGTATCTGGGTAATGCTGGCCTCAGAATGGATTTGGAAGTTTTCCTTCTATTTCTTTTTCTTTTTTTTTGGAATAGCTTGGGTTTTTTTTATTATTATTACTGCATTCAGTTAGCCAACATATAGTACATCATTAGTTTTCAAAGATTCATTAGTTGCATATAACACCCAGTGCTCATCACAACACATGCCCTGGTTTGGGGTTTTAACAACTACATGGGGTACAGAGGGTGAGGGCTTGGACCCAAGACAGGAATTCAAATGCAGGACTAGAGAAAAGTAACATACAGGCAGTCACTCATTGATACCTTATTCCCCTCACACCCCCTCCCCAAGTATTGCATCCCTTTCTTCTCTTCTACAGGATTTTTCTCTTTTAGGTTCCTAAACTCTGGCGTTGCTTTCACTTGGTTATCAACTATTTCCCATTAAAATTATTAATTGCTTATTAAATGTTTCTGATCATTTTCTACTAAAATTAATAATCTGTCTATTAATTGACAATTAAGTTACAAGCTGTTAAAAGATTAGGGTATGATAGTAGCTTCCATCCACAACAATAATTCCCATTCTTATTCATGAAGTTGAAGCTTTACAACTAGAAATGGAGGGAATGAAATGAATGAAGTGGAAGAAAATTAAACAGAGAGGCTAAAAAAATTAATGGAGGGAAAAAATATTTTTCTCCACTGAGCACTATCTTCTGGACCTTTAACTTCCAGATTATACTGTCTTTATTGAATGACAGGAATCACCACCTAGTTGTACAGGCCTGAAATTTTAAAACAATTTCTACATTTGCCTTTCTCTTTTCCTCAATATTCAACCTACAGCCAGGTGCTATCCATTTTACTTCTTGAATACCTTTCAGATCTATCCTCTCCATATCCATAGGTGATACCTATGAGTTTTTCAACCTCAGGACTACAGACATTTTTGGCTAGATAATTCCTTGTTGTGGGGGGTAGCCGTGCATATTATAGGATGTTTGGGCAGAATTCCTGGCTTCTACAGAATGACTAGAGGCCAGTAGCAGTACCCATCTCCACCCTGCCTAGTTGTGAGAAACAAAAATGCCTCAAACATTGCCAAATAGTCCCCTAGGTGATAATCACTGCCTTATACTAAGCTAACACCATTTCTTACCCAGTGTACTGCAAGAGTCTCCTAATATGTCTTCACTGAATCCACCATATTACTGCACCCCCCTGCCCCCCCCCCCATAACCACTCTCCACACTACACCCAGTGATATTCCAACTCTGGTCTTGTCAGTCCCTACTTAAAGTACTTCAGTATCTTCCCATTTCTCTTAGACTAAAACCCAAAATCCTTTTTATTGCTTTAGAAGGTCTAGCTCTCACTTCTCCAGATTCATGTTGGACCTCACTGCATCCTACTTCCCCTCCTTCATTGTACTCCAGCCACACTGGCTACCTTTCAATTCCTCACATGGGTCATTCTCTCTCCAGCTCTTGGGAGAACCCTCTGACAAGAAGATTCTTCCCCCACCTCTTGTAACGCTCTGAGAATTAGTAGATGCTATTTAAAAACAGTAACAACCAATGTTGGGGCTCTAGATTAAAAGCTGTGACCTAAAGAAAAAGTTGAATGCATTTTGATGGTTGGAAAACAGGACATACCGCTTTTTCTAGCACAGGGTAGACAAAGATCAGTGATGACCAACAAGGAGAAATTATAGAGGACAACGTGTTAAGAGTCACAAAACTTAGGTCCTAATCTCTTTTCTGCATTGATTATCCATGTGATTTGTTCTTAGTTTTAATTAACTTTTCTGGTGTACAGTTCTATCAGTTTGAATACATGTAACCATAACCACAATCAGGATACAAAACAGTTCCATCACCCCCAAAAATTCTCTCATGTTGCCCCTTTGCTGTCAAACACCTTCCCACTGTAGTCTCTGGCAACCACTGACCTATATAGTCTTTGTCCTATACTTTTATCTTTTCCTGGCATATATATACATGCCATCTTCTCTATATTAAAATATTAAGCCATTTATGATGATCATTTGTCTGCCATAGCCAAAAACTAAATGTATGACAGTATCCCTTCTATGGTTCATATTTTAAAAAAGGATTTAAGTTTGTGGTTAATGCCCAATTTTTTCAATTTCACATCTTAAATTTTCAGTCTTCTCTGGAAAAGTGGCTCCACTTTGAATTTCTACATGCTATCTTGGTGGGCCTATAACTTTGCTCACTCTACAAAGCTATGAGCTCCAGACTGTTCCTTAGCCTTTCCTTGTAGTGGTCCTTCCTCAGTTTACCACAGCCAACTGAGCAGCCAACTGCAATTTTCTTTTCAGCAGTCTTTACTGATGGTGAGGGAGGGAGCAGTGTTCCAAGCTTATTCTAGCACCATGTTACTTATGAACATAGCTTGTCACTGAATGTCTAAAGATAATACTGATGACACTGTTTAGTCAACAGTCAGCTAAAGGAGAGTCTTGTTAATGATATAATACGAAAAAACTCACTGCGTTATCTCATAGAGTTGCCACCCTGGTAAATCATAAGAATGCTATCCATAACATTATATAAATTTTAATAAGCACATCTGACAGAATCATTCGTAATTCTCTTGTAGTGTATCAGATTAGGTGTAATTACACTGGATTCAAAAGAATAACTGGATTCAGAAGTATTAAGTAATTGGGGTGCCCAGGTGGCTCAGTCGGTTAAGCATCCGACTCGGTTTTGGCTCAGGTCATGATCTCATGGGCCATGGGATTGAGCCCTACATTGGGCTCCATGCTCAGGGGGGAGTCTGCTTAAGATTCTCTCCCTCTGCCCCCCCCCCCACTCATACTCTGTCTCTCTAAAACAAATAAATCTTTTTAAAAAAAAGTATTAAGTAATTGATGTCTCCCACAAGTGCTTCCTCAGAGATAAATTAAGTATTAGAAACCACTTACATGTAAGCAAGATTTAAGTCTTTTTCTAAGATTCATTTAGGAGTTTTCTTTCATTTCATTGAGTTTCTTTTATGGCCCGTAAAAAGCAATTAGAAAGGCTTGTATTTCTGAGACACAGAAACTGAAGAATTCCATAAAAATCTGCTTTTTGCTCCTTTTCCTGCTTCTATTCTTGCTAGGACCTGTACCCCCACCCCACTTTACACATGCCTCAGAATGCAAATAGTGTGTGCCCTCCTTCTAAGGGACAAGGAGTTCATGATTTCTTCAGAATAAATAACATCTAAGGAAGGATGAGGTGATAATGACTGAACAAAGCTGTCGTATGCATATTCCAGACCACCAGTGCTAGACATCTCAACACCAAGATGCCCTGGCTCCAAGGAATAACACCTGGGTCTCATCTTCGTTTTAACCAGTTCCTGGATGCCTGAGAGGACACATACACCATACCATCATCCTTAATAAAAAACCACAGACCCTGAACAAAGACGAAACTCATGCTCCTTTCCTTTCCAAGTCTCCCAGTCGCTTCTCTGTATCTGCTCTCTCTATATCTTCAATAAACTCTGCTCTCACTTCCTGCTGGCTTGCATTTGATTTCCATCCTGCGCAAAAGCCATGGACCCTCTTGGCTGGTTCTATAGGACCCCCTCCGGGTCCTCAGACCTGGCCTGCCAGCATCATTTTTTGATATGAACATATATCAAATACAGAGAAAAACAGCAAGTTGGTCAAACACAGGAGATCACGTGAATTTACCTTGCTAAGAATATAAACATTTTTCAAATACAAATACCAACTGATTTTCTAGATTAAGTCCTTTATAAAACTAATGATAAGCAAAGTCATCAGATTTTATTAACACAATAAGATGAATATAAAAATTATAGATTTTTCAAAGCTTGTTAGTTTCCACCTAATTGGATGAGACTAGCACAATGTTTGTTTTTACCTTCCGGTGGCCTGTTGGATGTTGCCACAACGACGACCCCATTTTTGAACAGATTTTCAAAAAGCTGTTTCAGAATCATGGCATCAGCAATGTCAGTGACCTATGGACAACAACACATTTGTTTTATTTTAATTTCACTTCTGCTCTAACAAATTTGCTAATGGCTCATCTTTTTTTTTTTTTTTAAGGATGGAAGTGAATTCCAAGAGAAAAATTCTAATTATCATCATGAAGAAAAGAGTAGATAATTAAAAGCATGAAAGACTGTATGGTAGTCTTTTAAACTTGACTCTTTTTTGCAAGCCTATCATTTCTACGCAAATTATCAAATGGTTCTATGTTAACTTCTTTTATAAACTACAGGTGGAAAGTACAGATAATTGTCTTAAACATTTAGGAAGTCTAATTAATTAGAAATAACATGACCAAATCCTCCTCCAACGCCCATCACAGACTCTGTCCACCCCACCCCACCTCACCCTGGCAAAAAGAGGAGAGAGAGAGAGAGAAAAAAAAAAAAAAGAAGAAGAAACAAGCTGATTGAGATTTCTAATACCTTTCTGGCAAAGGTCCCTGAAAAGGTGACTTTAAATGGTCATGGGACTTTAGAAATAAGGACAAATAGCCAGTGAGACATAATCAGCTGCTGTTGAAAATAGAATGATATGACATAGATACTATTGTGCAATTGTTGCACAAAACAATTCAACAGATGGCCCATCACAAAAATAAGCAATTTCATTGTTCTTTTTAAGTGGCTTCTATTACTGTCCATGAATAATCAAAAGGCACTGCAGTCACTTCCAGCACAGCCAGCCTCTGCTAACCTTCGCAAACACAAATATTCCTTCTATTAAAAAAAAGAAAGAAAGAAAAGAAAAACCTTACAAGAATGGTTCATGCAGTGCTTTAAAAAATTACTTCTGACAAAAGTAGAAATACATAATATAGATAAAACTATTCCATCTAAGTTACAGAGACACATATAACTATCTTTTCTAAAATTTTTAAAAATCCACAATTAACAAGCTTATTAACTTTTAAAAAAGCTTTTTAAAATCACAAGGAAATAGAGAAATTAAGGAGGGAAGGAAGTTGAGTTCAAAAACAAATGTATAGTGAAGATAGATATTAATCATTGTACCTTCCCTTTTAAATATAATAATATGGGTTTTAGATACTTCTTATGTAAAAATATTTTGATCTTTAATAGCATTTCAGATCACCTTAATAAAATTGGTTTTATATTCACAAAACATACAATAAATATCACATTGTTATTTTTAAACTCTGTTAGAGCATAGAAACTGGCGTAATTCTTTCAAATTAGATCAAAATACTGAAAGTTACCCACCAAATGGTTGTATAAGACAACAACCACCTGACTTACACAGGTTGATGTCACTTTTCTCTTTTACGCAAAAGTTTCATTATTTCCTTCCCAACTGAACAAAAACCAAACCAAACCAGGAAACAGGGATGTGCAGAGCTTTTTTTCTTTTTTTTCTGCCTCAGGTTTTAACTTTAAAACATTAACTAGAAAACTACTGAAGATTCCTTAAATTAAAAAGACTTCAGAAACTTACAGAGTGGTGATTAAAATGAAAAGGAAAGTCGAACTATTTAATTATTTAGGAAAGTGATAGTTAATTTGGAGCTTAGGATCACTGTCAAATTTTGCTTCCGCAAAAATACTCACAGAGAAGGCCCTTTTCAAATGCTTAGACACCAGTGGCATTTCTGATGAGAGAGCAAACAAGCTTGCAAATTTTAGAAGCAAGTGCACTTTTAAATTGGATTCCCAATACACTGACTTTGAAAGAGAATGATATCAATGAAAAGTTGCCCAATTTAAGAAAATAAAAATGGTTATTTGACTATCTCACCAATGTTTTTGAAAAAAAAAATTAAAAATAGCTTTTCGTGCCCTACGGTTTAGAAAAGTAAAGAGACATTTAGCTTGTAACAGTGCAAAGGTTTAAGCTGGAAGTTGAAGAAAAGCAAACAATAAAGACTTGTGGTTGAATCATAATTTGTTGTTTTTGTATTACAAAATGTTTTTGCTCTATCAGAGTAAATTAACTTGGAGAAGCTATGGCTAATTAATAAAGCAGGAGTCACTTGGGGTAGCTGGGTGCCAATGTATACTCTTTTGATCTTGTCCCCGCACTTGTTCAGCTTTGCTGGGGAACAGTAATTTTACAGTATAAGTGAACAGAAGACAATTGGCCACACATTCTTGGAGAGCGGGCTTTTTTAGCACCCAGCATTTCATTACCACCAAGAACAAAAGAGAAGGCTACAGATTACCAATAAGGGTAGTCCGCTAATACAGAGAGGGGGAGACATTTCATTAGCATTAAAGAGAAAAGATTTTTTATGACCTAGAGTTGCTTTCCATTATGACTCACTTAAGTAAAAAAAAAAAAAAAAAAATCTAATGGTTAATTTACATATGTAAGTGCTTGAGTCTCAGTCACCCACTGATTGGTACAGTGCCATGTAATGAGTGACAAACATAAGCATGCATTATCAGTAATTAGTATTAGCACAAAAATAAGCATCTATTTTTTATTAGCAGTTTTTAATAGCTTTCCTGTTTTACAAAAACGGTCAAAACTATTTTTTAAATGATATTGATAGCTTATAGAGGAGAATTTTGCATGATATTCTGCTCATCAGAATTCTTTTTTTTTTTTTTAGACCATATTAGTAAAACATCTATCCAGTGTCCCTAAAAGAGACAGGAAAAAATAACTTTTTTTTTTAAATCAGTTTCCTTCAGTATTATACCTTCAGAATCATAAATGGTTTAACAAAAAAATATAAATATTCAAAGTCAACATAATGAAGACCCTAAAGAAAACTTTGAGGAAAATCTGCTCTTTTATTTCAGCATCTAAAACATATAAAAACAACCTACCTAGACAAATTTCTCAAACAAAATAATAGTATATTTGACACCACAGGCAAAACTGAAATGCTATACTTTACTAAAGATAACCAAGCTAATGAGGAATACATTCTGCAAATGTAATCTGAATACTGCCAAAACATAATTTAAAAATTCCCCAAATTCAAGAGTACATATAGTCTTGTTTTTAAGCAGCAATAATTCTCATTCAGCTCCCTAGTAAAATAAATATTATATTAATTAACACCAAGTAAAGGCCAATAATAACTAGTTAAAAATCAAGACTACTAATAGGATTCAATTTTTAAAAGTGAAGTGGTGACTGCAGACATACGATTGTTAAGAATAAAGTGCCTAAAAAATTCTTTTCTAGTAAATCAGCAGTGTATCGTACTAGGATTAATAGGCTTAAGGATAATTTTTAGGTTCTATCACTAACACATCTACTAAAAGCCTATCCAGCTCCAGATCTGTATATTTAAATACATAATGTAAGACATCATATACCAAAGAGAACATATAACATAGCTGTTACTACTAGTGAATTAGAGCACTAATGATGAATTCACACAGAGTTACCAGCTGTGTAACCTTGATGAGTTAGTTAACTTCTCTGACCCTTAATTTCCTCATCAGTATAATGAAGGTAGTAATAATACCTACATGAAGGTAGTAATAACACCTACCTTGCAAAATTGTTATGATCCTTATATTAAATCCTCAAGAAATGTTAGCTAGGACTACTATCTGTGTATGGCATACGTGCTAGTATAATTGCACGTTATTTATATGTAGCTGTATCGAACTTTAGCTGTAGAAGGAATGGTATATACCATAGTACAGTAGTTAAGAACAAAGGCACATAGTACTCAATAAACAGAATATACATAATAGATGGAATGTAACCATTCCAATAAATGGCATTGTCTCAAACAGATAGTTCATAAAAGATGAATTTTAACTAGTTAATAAACAAATGTAGAAAAAATTCAACTATATTATTACTTAAGGAATATTAAAACAATAAGATACCATTTTTCATCTATTAGACAAAAAATGTTAAGATAATTCAGAATGTTGACAGGAAAAATTGTGGGTTGTTATTATAAATAAGGGAAGTGGGACTTAGTTGGGACACTACCTCAATATTTATCATTTGGTACTAGGATTTATTCATTCATTCTTTCACTCGCTATTAGGCATTCACTCATCCTCAAACACAGTTCTAGACATTTGAGATACATCAATTACCAAAACAAAGATTCCTACCTTCAAGATTATGGAGGAATATATATATAATAAGCAGTAAACATAATAAATAATATATATATGCCAGAAGGTGATATATGTTATTTTTAAAAAGAATGGTTTTTAAAAAGACAGTAAGGGACATTGGTTAATGGCAAACCACAGTTTTTTAAGAATAGGCCTTTGTTAAGGAGATAACTGAGCAAAGATCTGAAGAAGTGAGAGACTCTTTGGAGTATCTGGGGGAGACTGCCCCAGGCAGAAAGTTCAGTGCAAAGGCTCTGCTTGTTTGTTCTAAGTTGTGTGGATGTTGGGAATCAGAGTGCCGCTGTAACAATATTTTGGGGGTATCCTTTTACCCCCAAATTTTAGAAAAAGGGGACAAGGAGAGATCTGGACTAGCAATAATCCAGTTTTGGTATGCTAGAGGAGCTTTTCTAAAACCAGTAGAAGACAGTCCAGATACTGAAACTAGGAGATCCAGGTTCTGCTCAGTGATCACTTCTGCCCTTAGAGGCCATATTCTTGCCCTTATACTCTTGCTTTCTCTGGTTCTTCTCAACAGTGGGTATATAGAGATAACTGGCCTTTTCTCGCATACAGTGGTAAACTCCAGGCTCAAGTCTGGAATTGCAGAGGAAATAAAAGCAAAACTACTAACACTTTTCATCCTAGGACATGCAGGGCAACTTTGTTCAAAAGCTGAGGGTTCTCCCTCCTGCACTGTTGGTGGGAATGCAAGCTGGTGCAGCCACTCTGGAAAACAGTATGGAGGTTCCTCAAAAAGTTGAAAATAGAGCTACCCTACGACCCAGCAATTGCACTACTGGGCATTTATCCCAAAGATACAAATGTAGCGATCCGAAGGGGCATGTGCACCCCAATGCTTATAGCAGCAATGTCTACAACAGCCACTATGGAAAGAGCCTAGATGCCCATCGACAGATGAATGGATAAAGATGTGGTATATATATATACAATGGAATATTATGCAGCCATCAAAAAAATGAAATCTTGCCATTTGCAACGACGTGGATGGAACTAGAGGGTATTATGCTAAGCAAAATAAGTCAATCAGAGAAAGACAATTATCATATGATCTCACTGATATGAGGAATTTGAGAAACAAGACAGAGGATCATAGGGGAAGGGAGGGAAAAATGAAACAAGACGAAACCAGAGAGGGAGACAAACCATAATAGACTCTTAACCTCAGGAAACAAACTGAGGGTTGCTGGAGTGGAGGGGGGTGGGAGGGATGGGGTGGCTGGGTGATGGACATTGGGGAGGGTATATACTATGGTGAGCACTGTGAATTGTGTAAGACTGATGAATCACAGACCTGTACCCCTGAAACAAATAATACATTATATGTTAATAATAATAATAATTAAAAAAAAAGAAAAAGGCAGAGGGTTCTCTCATGTTGCCAACTCTAACATAATAGAATGCTACATTCCAGTAGCATTTGCGATCAAATAAAAGCAATCAATTTGATATTCAGTCTTGTTTTATCATCTCTGAGCATATGTTCTTCAGAGCTCTGGTGGGAAAGAAACATTTGGTATAACACCCACTATTAGCTATGGTTCCCTAATTTTTTAGGAAAATAGGGTTGGAAAATATTTGCAAGGAGCAAGGAGATAGGATCAGAGAGAAAGCAGGAAGGCTTGAATAAAAGAAATGACACTGTCTTATTGTATTCCCCACACACACCCACTTAGAGTTTAAGCTTTTTTAAGTTGGGTTTTCTGTTACCTATAGTAGAAAGCATCCTAGGAGATACCTCATCTCTTTGCTCTTTGGTCTTTAGTTCATCAGCTAATTCTCCTTGCACTGGAGATACTGGATTCTATATGAAGGAAGGTGACATTTCCTCACAGTACTCCTATTTATGCTATCTTTTATAGGCCATAAGGAAATCCCTCCTGATACAGCAGATAGGAGCAAAACATGAGCTGAACAGATCCATCCCCAAGACTGTTTGCAAGCAACAGGCACAGGAGATTCAGCTAAAGAAAAGGAGTTTACTTGAGCCTCCAGGATGCAAACAGCACTGATAGCACCTGCTGGGAACTGGAGCTGAGGTAGCTCTGGAGAACTCAGCAGCTGTCCAGGGAGCAGCCTTGTAGTCCTCCCCCTAATGTGATTCAGTTATTTCCTATGTCTCTTTGTTCCTGCTTCATTATTGTGTGGGAACTGCCCTCAGTGCCTTTTAGTTGAAAGACATGAGACAGAGGACATGATTGGCCCAATCCCCAGGGTACACCACACAAGTGCAATGTTGCTGGCAAGTTTGTGGGCTTGGTACTCATAGATCAGATGTCCAGACATGGTCCATTTGACTGTGGGTCAGATCGGGTCCTGTAGTTTGGGATAAGGCTCTTTATTTAAGGCAACTGGATGGATGAGTAAACGAATGAATGAACATCAAACCAACTCTGGACGGGGCAGGCGATGACCACTCCGTCATATCCACTCTCTCTTTGTTAGCAAGCGACATTTTACAAGTGAGGGGCCTATCTCCCCCTTGATCTCCTTTATACTTAATATGTAATTTGAAAAATCATTTTTATTGCCTGCCTTTCTTTTGCAAGACTCACTCATTTGGAACACGAGCATCCTGAGAGTTGCTTTTGTTTCCTTCTTCCCAACCATTCTGAAGTCTGAACTCAATGGAGAATGCCCAGTGCAACCAGAGAGGTTTCTGTTAGGGCCTCACTATTAGGGTGGTATTATGACATTAATGGGTCCTAGACACTTTTACCTTCATGAGCCCCTTCCTCAATTAGAAAATGCATTTGAGGGGTGCCTGGGTGATTCAGTCGGTTAAGTGTCTGACTTCGGTTCAGGTCATGATCCCAGGGTCCTCGGATTGAGCCCCTCATCAAGCCCCGCACTGAGCATCATGCTCAACAGGGAGTCTGCTTCTCCCTCTCCCTCTCCATCTGACCCTCCCCTGCTCATGTACATGGGCACACTCTCTCTCAAATAAATAAATAAATGAAATCTTAAAAAAAAAGAAAATGCATTTGAAAATACGTGTGTTTACATACATAAATAGTATTTTATGACTGGGTTGGTATAAAATATATATAGATACAGGCTGAATTCATTATGATATGTTCATTTCTTTCTGCAAATTTTAAAAGAAATTAAAATATTTTTGTGGGCCCCTGAAAGTATAATGGACCCTAAGTACTGTGCCTACTACACCTAATGGGTAATTTGGCCCTGCTTGCTATTAATCCTCTGAGGATCTCTTTGTACCACCAAATTGTCATTGCTTCCTAACCTTCTTAGTCTTGCCAATGGTCTTTGTGTCACAGCAACAGACCACTCTTTTCTCTGAATGTTTTAAAATTCATATTTTTTAAGTTAAAGGTCATGATTTTTATATGATACCAAGGAAATTCTGATGCCCTCTATTCCTCATCTACATGATGACTATAATAACTATTTTACAGAATTAAATGAATAACCGTGTTATAGATATAAAAACACTTTGTAAACCATGAATCATTTTACAAAGGTTAGGTATTAATATACTTTTAAAAAAAATTTAACTTCAATGCCCTAATCAAAAATTTAACTGTCCTAATTCAATTTTATTGGTGATAATGTGATTAAGAGATCATAATGAGAAAACCAAGAGATGGTCTTCACTGATTTATCACTGACTTTTGTTGTCGACAACAAACTCAGTACTATTTTTAGAACTAAACTAGGCCTTTCTCTTTCTGCAACACATTGTACACTTAGTGCACTTTTTCAGAGTAGAACATTTCTTCCCCACAAGGCTTCTTCTGAAGACCTTTGTAGTTCTACAATACAAAAGGTGATAAGATGCCTGGGTGGCTCAGTCAGTTAAGCATCTGCCTTCAGCTCAGGTCATGATCCCAGGGTCCTGGGATTGGGCCCCCCACATCAGGGCTCTGTGCTCAGCGGGAAGCCTGCTTCTCCCTCTGCCTGCCACTCCCCCTGTTTGTGTTCTATCTCTCTCTCTGACAAATAAATAAATAAAATCTTAAAAAAAAAAAGAAGGTCAATGCCAGGCTGTCTTAATATGACTGAAAGGAGAAAGAAAGATTCCTCCTTTCCAGATGGCCCAGTGTAACACCATTCCTGGTGAAAATTCTTCTTTCTCATCTATCATAAATCGAGACCATTGTTAGATAAGTGTATCAAGTTGCTAAAGGAGACCTATCTGCCTCATTTGGGATAAAGGCAACCTGGCCATCTTATCTTCCCACCAATGCAGGTTTTTAAAACCCAGAACAAAAAATAACTCGCTACCAATTTAAATGCATAATTTCAGAGAATCTTAAAACTGTAAGAAGCTTTAGAATTCAACTAGGACAGTTCCCTCACTTCATCACAAATCTGTTGTGAGGCTTAAATAAGATGTGTGACTCACCCAGGGCCCACCTCAGAGTAGGCACAAAACAAATGTTAGCTTCCTACCCCTTCGAAGTTCTCTGGGCCTTTATTCTAGGCAGTCAGACACAGGAGTTTATGCACTCAGCTCCAGAGATATTATTCAAAAGCTCTGGGTGTGAAGCCCTATTTTTAAGCTTATATTCAGTATTTGTGGATTTTTCTATTTTCATTCCAATAATCAATTGCTCTTACAGTAAGAATTATAGAAAAATAAACTATTACATTTCAGAACCACTGAAGAAAGCAAATAAAGAGGAAGTAATTCTTAACCTAGAGCATCTATTATTATTATTATTATTATCATTATTAAACACCGGGATACAGAAAAAGCATAAGACATGGCATTTGCCTGCATGCTATCTTTGCTCTCGTAAGAAATAAAGATCAGAAAATAACTTATTACCAATTTAAATGCACAATTTCAGAGACTCCTAAAACTACAAGAACTTTGAAAGTTCAAGTAGGGCCAACTCCCCGTCATCACAAACAAGTTGTGAGGCTTAAATGAGATGTGTTAATCACTTGTATTTTATATAACACTTTAAAAAAAAACCACAAACATCTTTAAAGACATTATTTTGTAATCATGACATTATCTCCATCATGGTACAGGTGAAATGTAAATCCATGACCCTAATATAGGGATGGGCAAACTTTTCCTATAAAAGGCTGAGTAGTATATATTTTAGGCTTTGCAAACCACATGTGGTCTCTGTTGCATTTTCTTCTTCTTTTTTAAAAGACCCTTTAAAGGGGCGCCTGGGTGGCTCAGTCGTTAAGTGACTGCCTTCAGCTCAGGTCATGATCCCAGGGTCCTGGGATCGAGCCCCGCATCAGGCTCCCTGCTCGGCGGGAAGCCTGCTTCTCCCTCTCCCACTCCCCCTGCTTGTGTTCCCTCTCTCGCTGTGTCCCTCTCTGTCAAATAAATAAATAAAATCTTTAAAAAATAAAAAATAAAAAATAAATAAAAGACCCTTTAAAAATATAAAAATCATTCTTTTCTCACCGGCCATACAAAAGCAGATGGGCCAGATTTGCTCTGTGTGAGCCATAGTTTGCTAATCCCTGGACTAGACGGTAAAATAAACTCATAAGAGGTAATGTGTCAAATCAATTTATAAAACAATGATAAAATCAGGAACAGAATTTAAATCTTCACATGTCATTCAGAATACCATTCCACATCTATGAAAATCTCTACCTTACCTGAAATTCATCGAAACATAAGAGACATGCTTCTTCACTGATCTCTTCAGCTATGGGAGCTATTGGATCATATGATTTAGCCATGAATCCTGGTTTTCTTTTTGGCAAACTCTGTTTAAGGCGGTGTATTCCTTTAATGGATGAAATTAAACACAAATCAAATACTGTATTAATTGTTCATTTTAAATAACTATAATGTATCTTTTAAATCTCTAAATGAAACCTCAGTGTGAACATAAAAACTAAGTTTAAATGCCACATAAAATCAAATGTGATTATTGAAAAATTGGTTGCATTTTCTCTACCTCAAAATAAGTTGTTCACATCTTAATACATTCCCATGGCTGTAAGGACACTTTGTAGTCATTCCATCCCCACCCTTCAATCACTTCAGAGGTGACAAAGTGATAGCCTAGATGACAAGATGGTAACTAGCTGGATCAACAGATCAATCTTGTTGCTGAGGATTTCAGAGATGCGGGCAGAGGAGGTGATCCTGCCCTACGTCTAGCATACATAATCAGATGTTCCCTTATCTCTAGGCAATCCCACTTCACTCCTTAAAAGTGTATTGAATGTTGGAAGTATTAGAAGAAAAATGCAATGTTCCTGCCCTGGTGAGGTTACGGTATAGCTGGTAGACAAATAATGCACAACAGAAATAATCTAAGAACACTGACAAAGCAGTAAGGCATACATACAAGCACATGAATGCCTACTTGCTAAGGTGACACAGAGGAAATGACCTAGTCAAGAACAACTTCTTGAAATAAGCGAGTTTTTAACATTTCGTATTGATCCTTAGTAGAAAGAGGAAATACCCAACCTTCATATAGTAACCTCTCTTCTCTTAATGGGAAGTACTGAATTTGTCTTTAGGACCAACTCTACATCACAAGTTGTTTCAATATAGCACAAAACAAGTGAAACCAAATAAAACCTCACTTTAAGCAAACTAATTTTTTAAAAGATTAAGAATTTTAAAAGATGGTAAGAACTATTCTGTAGTGTTTGCCCACTTAAAAATCCCTTCTTTTAGACCATTTAACTTACTTTCATGAACATCTAGCATGAACCCATGAAAATGAACCCGTTTCTTCCTCTTCATCTCCACATAAGTATAAAACATGTCCATCACCATTGTTTTCCCTGTACCTTAAAAAAAAAAAAAACAAAAAAAACTATTAAACAGTATGTACTGATCGCTCTCATGATTGTTCATTAGCTTTGGGATAATGAAACCATACTCTTCTACTGGAAAGCTTAAGACTATGTTACTTTTTTGGAAGGAGTGTTTATTTTGTATGTTAAATGAGCTAAAAATAAAATGTTGATATTGCTCTTTTTTGTTAAAATCCTGTTATTAGGAAATACAACATTTAATTAACATTACAGGGAACTATGTAAATAAACTGGTAAGATCTGCAGATTATTCATTCTTCAGTTTCTCTTCCAAAAGACATCAATATGAATAAAATAACTTAATTAAGTAAATATTTATTGGGCCATAAGTAAGAGGAGTGGTCTTAGGGAAATTCAAAGATGAAAAATAAAAAAATAAAGATTAGTATCTAACATAAATGCTGAAAGTAAATAATAGATGTACATTAGAACTGCAGAATTGCCAATTTTAACAATTTTTTGGTAGGTTTATCTTTATTTCTCTTTGCCTATCCTACAGTATTTTTTTATACATGTTGATACTATGCTCTTTTTCTTTTAAGTTTTTTTTTATTCTTATGTTAATCCTCTTTTAAGTTTTTTATTTTAATTGCAGTATAGTTAACACACCGTATAATATTACTTTTTAGGTGTACAATATAGTGATTCAACACTTCCATACAACATGTGGTGCTCATCACAGTAAGTGCGCTCCTTAATCCCCATCATCTATTTCACCCTTCCCCCCCAGCCACCTCCCCTCTGATAACCATCAGTTTGTTCTCAATAGTTAAAAGTCTGTTTCTTGCTGTCTTTTTTTTTCTTTGCTTGTTTTGTTTTAGCTTTTGAAAAAAGTGTTAAGATACAACACTGTCTTAAAAAGCTGAGAACATAAATCTTTCAAAATGAGGCCTACTTGAAGAAATTGAAACCGTTAACCCTTCAACACTGAAACTTTGAACCACTGTGATTGCTTTAGTAATCGAAGAGTCATATTTAACAAAGTATGCACGGAAAGTCTTATTCCCTCGCAGAAAGCCCAGAGCTTTGGGGACATTGGCAGTACTCAGGCTCAGGTCAGACCCAGCATTCTTCAGCAGGCCAGGCCAGGGCATGCTGGTGCTGTCCCTCATGCTCACCACTTCCTCTGGCACGACCCCACCACAGTGCCCATCCTCTCCTCCCAGGAGCTATGAGTATACATAGGCGGCTCAGGATGTGAGATCTAAGTCTTAAATCTATTTGGCTTTCCTTCATTCCATATGGCTTTGAGCCCATGCCATCTGAATCACCAGAAAGTTTTTTGTATGTGAAAATACAATTCACCAAACACATCTGGTCATTAATGAAGAAACCAATTCGATTTAAAAGTAATCTTTTTGCAAAAAATATTTAGTATAATATTTCTTGATACAGTGCGTAGCAGCAGATTTGAATCATTACATTTATGCAAAATAATAAAATTTTAAATTCTGCTGCATGAAACAGTACGCTTGTAGATCCAAAAAAAAGTCAGGAACTCACAAAAAATGTGAATAATATATATTTGAATGTAATCTTTGTGCTGAGTCTTTAAAAAACAGGCTTAAAATATAACAAGACCATCATATAAAAAGCTTCTGGAGATAAAAGCAAAAAAATCATAAAGGAAAAAATGGCTACCTGAAATTTAACCTTCTAGGGCGCCTGGGTGGTTCAGTAGGTTAAGTGTCTGCCTTCGGCTCAGGTCATGATCCTGGGGTCCTGGGATCGGGTCCCGCATCGGGCTCCCTGCTCAGCAGGGATCTGCTTCTCCCTCTCCCTCTGCCCCACCCCCCTGCTCATGCTCACTTGCGTGTGCGCGTACTCTCTCTCTCTCAAATAAATAAATAAAACCTTAAAAAAATTAACCTTCTGAATATCAAAATCACTATAAATAAAATTAATATCCTTATTTATTTAATCAATATATTGTTACTGAATAACACATGTGAGGCCCTATTCTGGGTGCTCGGGATCTGGTAGCAAACAAAACAGACAAAAATCCCTGTCTTCATGAAACCTGAAAGATTAACCTTACATATCTTTAAATATGAAGAGCTCTTAGAAACTACAGTGGTGTTTTGGGGGGTTTTTGTTTTTGTTTTTGGTCTGTCCTAAATCTCTTACTTTTGAAAACTTCCCTACTTAGCATGATTCTATGAGGGCATCAATCACAGGATGAGCCAATCAAAATACCCCTTTATCATATACACTGTGGTTGGCCCTGTAATGAGCACATGACCCAGTTAGGTCAGTGTTCTCTAGAGGCAGTTAATGTGGATCCTGAAAATAAGAATCATCTCTTCTCTTTTTAAAGGAGCAACCTAGAAAATTCCAGAAATATTTTTTATAACAGCAAAAAATTGTGACCAAGAATGAAGCCAACTACAAAACTATGAACAAGAATGAAGCCAAAAAGGAAAGCAGAACCAAAAGATGAAGGAAAAGGGAAACGGAGGGAAGGGGAGAGAGATCCCAAAAATATCACTTAAGACATTAAATATAGATCTACCCACAGCTGAATCAGACCATTATTCAACTTAATAATTAAACCAGCCATTAAATTCCTCCCCTGGTTCAGCCAATTCAACTGGCTTTTTTTTTTTTTTTCCACTACAACTGAAAGAATACTAAACAGGACAGATTTAACAGGGGAAAGAAAAAAAGATGATCAATGTACAAGAAAAAATGAGTATTCAAATGACACAAAAAATATAAATAGCTTTAAACATATTTTTAAAAGTTTAATTCTACCAGGAATAAAAGGAATACAAGGAAAAACACCCATGATATACCATTTTTATGTTCGTGAAGATGTAGAAAACAAGCACTCTAATATACTTCTGGAGATAGTATAAAACCAACCCTTCTGGAAGTCAGTTTGGCAATGTCAATCAAAAGGTAGACAAGTATTTTAAAATACTCAGAACCAAAATCAATACTGTAAAGATATTTTTGCTCCCTAAATTATTTCAAAGCTCAGTGGAATCCCAATCAAAATCAATTTAGAAATAACTTGACAACATGATCCTAAAGTCAGTCTCCTGATAAAAAATAAATAAATAAAGGTCTATCAACAGGAAACTGATTAAGTGAATTGTGGAACATTCATATAATAAAATAGTATATACCCAGTAAAATGAATGAGGTAGATCAATACGTTCTGATATGACATGATATCTAAGACCCACAATTAACTGGAAAAAAAATAAAGTACTTAATATTTGAATAAAATAAAAACACCCACACTTTTAAAAATTCTCCTGAGTGGCTAATTTCTTTAAAAAGTGTGAAAAAGGGACATCTGGGTGGCTCAGTTGGTTAAGTGTCTGCCTTCAGTCCGGTCATGATCCCAAAGTCCTGGGATCAAATTCCGCATCAGGTTCCTTGCTCAGCAGGGAGCCTGCTTCTCCCTCTGCCTGCTCCTCTCCCTGCTTGTGCTTGCTCACTCTCTCTCTCTCACAAATACATAAAAATCTTTAAAAAATTACAATTAAAAAAATTTTAAAGTGCCGAAAATACTCTAAAACAAGATCAAGTAGCAAGTAATAGAGGTTGGGGGAAACAAGGAGGAAAAGAAGAGAAACTATACAATAAAAATGTATCATGAAATTAGAAAATTATATTTGAGTGGTACCGGACTCTTTAAAAAAATCAACTAAACCAGTTAAGCAGACCTAAGGATATATAATAACAGTGTATATGAAAAAAATAATTGTTAAAGACAAATGCTCAGCCATTTGCAGAAAATAAAACTAGATTCCTACTCACATTTCACACCAAAATTAATTCCAGATGAATCCAAGAAAACGAAAACTTCTGAGAGACCATGTGAGAGTAACTGGTTCCAGATTTGCCATTTGCCATCCCAACATAAACACCTTGAAAATTGGATGAAATACAGGGGCACCTGGGTGGCTCAGATGGTTAAGCATCTGCCTTCGGCTCAGGTCATGATCTCGGGGTCCTGGAATTGAGTCCCGCATCGGGTTCCCTGCTCAGTGCAGAGCCTGCTTCTCCCTCTCCCTCTGCCACTCCCTCTGCTTGTGCTCTTCTGTCTATCTCTCTGTCAAATAAATAAATAAAATCTTAAAAAAAAAAATTTTTTTTTAAAGAAAATTGGATGAAATATATGAAACTAATATTTTCAGACACTGGAAAATAAAAATACAAGACTCTGATCCCCGACAGAAGGGAAAAACAAGATGAGCCCTATATCACTGCAGCTTTTGGCTTAGAGGCACCCTCCAGACTGCTGCACAGAAAGGAGGAATCCTGGGCAAAACACCCAGGGCAGGCTGAGTTGCGTTAAGAGAGATCAGAATTATGGGAGTCCAATGCCAGGGAAATTTGCACGGCAAAATGCCAGGGAGGAGGAAGTTATCTATGAAAGAGCTCCAGAAATTAACATGTGGGTACTCTTAAGTCTTTGGCTGAATACTAGCTGCTCATGTGTAGGGTGACACTCCATGATGTGAGGCAAAGAATGGCCATCAGGAAACTGTAAAATGAACAATTTCCAGAGATACTGTACTCATGCAACAACTTGGATGAATCTCTAAGAAATTACACTGGGGTGGGGGCAGAAAGCCAATCTCAAAGGTTATGTACTTTTCCATTTATATAACATTTTTGAAATGATGGAATTTTAGAAATGGAGAACAGATTGATGGCTGCCAGGACTTAGAAAGAGAGGGTGAGTAGGTACGGTTACAAAATTATGAACACAAGGGACTCGTGGTGATAGAACTGTTCAGTACCTTGACTGTGGCAGTAAATACATGAACCTACACAGTTGACAAATTGTACAGAACTAAATACAGACACAGAAATGAGTACAAGTAAAACAAGAAATTTGAATAAGATCAGTGAATTATATCAATGTCATTCTGTTTGTGATATTTATACTATAGTTTTGCAAAATGTTACCTTTGGGGGGAAATGAGTAAAGTGTACACAGATATCTCCATATT